AGTGAGGGCTGGCATGTCCCCAGGGAGGGCTTTATGTGCCACCTGTGGCACACATGCCATAGATTCACTATCACAGCTCTATGATGTCCACCAGTTTATTCACCTGACATCTGTATTCCTACTCTGGAGCCTGATAGTTTACCCTTACAGGGTTTTCATATGACTTAGGGTCTTTCTCCATTTGTACCTAAAAATGGCATAAACATGCCCTGGCAACATCTTTCTTCTAATGTATTCCTTTGATGTTGCCTTCTTCTTGTCCCAACCCTTTGAGTGAGTCTTAAGTCATCTTTACCTCTTCTGGGTTTGCCACACTATTTTCCACCTTATTTTGACACATTCCAAGGATAGCTTTGAAAGTGGATTAAATCTTTGAGGTTTGGGTGTGCTTAAGTCAGAGAGATGGCCACATCTGGAACAGAAGCAATAGAAGCAAAATAGGCTACAGAGATAGCCAATCCAGTATGGTCCAGTTTTCCTGCCATTCAAGCATGGGTGGAGATAACTTCAAATAAACAATGGGGAAAATTCCTTTGTATATTATGTGTTCAGTATATTTTCTGAACTTAGAAAAACAGGTCAGTTCAATAACTAAGCACATTACAGAAACATAGCCATTATCTCTACTGTCAGAGACCTACACAGGTAGTCCTTGACTTATGATCAATTGCTTAGCAACTGTTCCAAGTTACAATGGACCTCCCTGGGGAGTACTGTTACAACCAATATTCAAAGTTCCCTCCTTTCACACCCATGGTCATGTGACCGCACTTCAAGAGCTAGGCAACAGACCCATATTACTAGCTGTTTGTAGCATCCTGCAGTGACCTGACCTTGTTTTATGATGGTTTTGCTGAAAATTGGCATTTACTTCTGGTTTTTGGCAAAACCAGTCTGTAACGAACTATTGATTTACTTAACAACCACCGCAAAAAAGATCACAAAATTGGGTTGGCGATGTGGGTGACCTGATTTATGACCATCATGATCTACAACTGCAATGGGCAGACTCTATTATGGTCATAACTCAAAGACTACCTATAGTAGTTTTTCAGTGTAAAAATAGTTTGCAGGAGATCTGTATATTTACATTGTTTTTGCAATCTTTAAATGCTTTTGTGGCGTTTCAAAAAAAACATACATTATAGCAAGGAATTTTTTTTCAAATCACTTCAGTTCAATACAAATGACAGAACTATTCATTGTTCTATATCTGCTAGATGTTTTATACTACATTTAAATTAATTTTATATTTGATTATTATTACTCATGATATTAATTTTGCCATTTGCTCTTTAAACTGCTCAAAGCATTATCTGTTGATAGGGAAGCATTGAATGAATCATTATTGTCCATGTCCAGCCTAACCTGGACTTAAAAGACTGCCTATATCAGTGAAACAAAATTCTTGGAAGGAAAAATATACACGCTTTTCAAAACTTGTCATA